ACTACAGTTGACATTGGATCTATGTGATGATTCTGCATCCACTGGCCTATTATCTTCCACATCTCCCTTCACTTTTATACATCATCATCCTGCAGCTATGTCCGTGTGCAGAGAACCCTGCCCTGCATCAGACTTGTGACCTTGAGGTAGACTTGGATGAGATGCCTTCTTGCTATATTGTTACATCTTGATATAGAACTATTCCTTTTACATATATGAGTGTCACTGGAATTGTTTATCTAGACAACCTGGCCTAACACAGGGTCACAGCATTGAGATGAGTTCAAATTGCCAAACATATAGTTGTGCTCATGTAGAACTTGTACATGGACCAAGAGGCTCTCATTTAAAAAGAAGAGAATATTTTGTGGTTTAGAATCAGGAAAGGTGTATGTCAGCATTGTATCCATTCATCATGCTTACTCAATCTATATGCTGAGCAAATCATCCAAGAAGCTGGAGTTTCTGAAGAACTTGGCTTTATAGTTTGTTTTCTAGGAGAAAGGCTTTTTAACATCTGTCATTCTACACATGACACACCTTGCATGCTGAAAAGGATGGAAACCATCAGCATGGATTTCAAAGCTATGTAATGAAAATTAAACTCTCACAACTGGACCGATAGGTGATATGATAAATAGGGGAAATATTGAAGTTGTCAAGGATTTCATCTTGTTTGGACACATGTTTGCATTGGGCATATCTGCTGTACAAGACCTCTTTAAAGTACTGACGAGGAAAGATGTCACTTTGAGGACAGAGGTACACCTTTTTCCATTCCCATCATGTGCAAGTTGGATACTGAGTAAGGAAGACCAAAGAAGGACCAATTCATTTGAATTATGGTATTGGCAAAGAATGCTGAAAGTACCACGGACTGCCAGAAGAGAGTACCTTAAGGAGCTTGAAATGGTTAAGTCAAAACTGTGAGGGTGGAGGGAGAGTGAAAGGGTTAGCCCACTGTTAGTTAAAATATGAGAAATATAACCATATCAGACTTGTTGGAATTTAAAAATGTAGCAGTCCCCTATTTGCAGTCCAAATTGCTTTTAAGCTTAATCAGTAGAGCTAGTCTTCTAACTCAGGAAGCTGGTAAAGAAGGCCATTAAGATAGGCAGGCAGACAGAAGCATGCCCCTTTAGATAAGCAATGGAGTCTGATGCTTCAGGGTCTGATGGTCTGGTAATCCCTGGATAAATACAGGTATAGATATTTTTATCTGTGGTCATTACACAAACCTGCTTTTTGCCACATAATTTGAGGTACGCGCATGCACACATACCCGAACACGCACGCACACACACACCTGCAGACGCCAGACAAACCTCCAATGGCAGCGTCTTAAAGTGAAATTGCACTGCAGGTGTCGATGGGAATGCGCATATCTGAGCATCTCCAACAGGTTGATCAAAAGGGACTCCTAGTTGACCTCCTCAGTGTCACATTCAGTGTCAGGGCTCTGGTTGCATCAGTGCAGCTGCATGTGTCTACTACATTACCGGTTGTTGTCCACAAAATGATGCTATACAATTCTAGGCTGAGACTTTCAAGCAACATCCTAGACAGCCTGCCTTCACAAAGGCTGGTGAAGTATATTTTGAATGTGTCCCACCAGCACGGTTGTACTCAGAGGGATCAGTGAAGGGGGTTTTGTTGGTTACTTAGTTCATTAAATGTACTTTCGTCTCAAGTCTGGCGATTGGGACCATGAGAACAACATATTAATAGGCTGATCCAGACAGAAATAAAGAAGCAGAACCAGAGTTTCAAGAGGATAAGACTACACTGAGCACTCAGGAGACTACATCGCTCACCCTCGGTGTATGCACGTGTCACATAGCCTTGGCTTCGAGACCTCATGTGATATTTGTGAAACGGGGTATCACAACATGAAAAGTTGACTCTTCACTCACTTTGGCACTTCACATGGTTTCCTTGCAACCAGAAATTCACAGTTCTTCTCAGGGCCAAAGAAAGTTTTGGAGACTATTTTGATTAAAAATAAAACAAAAAACTAAAGAACAAAACATCGAAAGACATGTGCAAAATTTTGTTTATTGTGGAAATTTCTATAATAGCAAAACAATGGGAACAATCAAAAACTGACTCTCGAGGGATGGATAAACCAGCTTCTGTATTTATACAATGGATTGTTATGGGATATTACTTAAAACATGATGAGTCTGTTAGTCATTTTAAGACATGGACTTAGTAAGAGAACATTAAGATTAGGAATGTTAATCAATCTCACAAAGATAACTATTTTATGAACTCATTATTATAGGAAATTAAGAAAATGTAGTTT